AATCCAGGGACAAGATTTAGGGCCCAAATATGAAAGGATAAAACAACCTTAGCTCTGTTCAGATTCAGATAATTCAGTTTTCCAACCATACAGTAATAAATCCACCTAATAGCTAGACTCAAAAATAGCCCGGTGGGTTCCTTTTCAAAGGAACATAATAGGGAAACTGAGCCAGGAGGATTCCATCTTAGATTGAGGTTAAAATTGTCCTTTCAACTTTTCCAGATGCTGACTTCCCACCAGTAACACATTTTCTCTGAGTAGCTTGTGGCATTTCTCTCAGATAATGGATTCTTGATTATCAATGGATTATTATAATCCATCAGACATCTCAAAATAAAATCCCATGAGCTTTTACCTCAAACAGCAAATTTCCAGCTTTTCCAGGATTTACATGTCAAATTTGAATAAACATTTATTAAGTGCCTACTATGTCCCAAGCACTGTGCTAAGCACTGGTACCTAGCTGACACTTGTGTACTCACAAATACATGTGAGTATGCACACACTCAGTATTTGTTTAATTAGCATATATAGGTAGTATAAGTAATATGAAAATGTACAGTTGGATGAAAAAAGGTTTTGAATCCTTTACATGCTGAAATAATTAGAAGTACAATAACAGTTTTTGAAAATATCAAAAACAAAGGCCAATGCATGTGCCTTATTAACTAACTCTTCCATTAAAACAATACTCTGACTTGGAATTAATCCCTTTAGCTCACATTATTTGATGCAAATATGCATATTAACCTCAGAACTGATGTTTTTTTCTTTTTTACCACTCACTTCAAATGATAGTCATAACCAATCACTAGATGGACTTTCTTCTGTCACGTCAGAAGCACCTTTTAACGACTCATGATGGACTTTTATCATCCACATAGGAAAGCAGACAGTAGGTGAGGTTATGATAACCATTAGATGGTAAAGGAGACATAAACAGATGCTGTTCACAAGTCTCAATGCTCCAATGGCAATTACCACCTGCTCTACTTCATCTATTAGTGCCATGCATGAAATATAAGCCAAGAGACAGAAAAATTCTGTGGACACCAATCTTCACTGCTACAAAAGAGTTTTAAATTCTTTCATTAATGATACAGACCACATATGACATAGCAGAATAACTCAGTGGTAAAGTAACAGACTGGATATTCAGAAATTTGACAGTTTACTGATATACATATACTCAAAAAGAAGCAAGATCATCACATTTTCATTTCTTTCTCTAGAAAGTGAGAATGGCATACTTTACAATGCTGTTGTAAGAAATAATCAATAGAGACAAATCTTGATTATTCCTACTCTGCCCACTCAGAATTTATAATCTTTTAACATTAGGTTCAGCTAAAACTTATCTTGAAACCAAAGAGAAAAGATGTTAAATGAGTTATGATTCATCCTTCTTGACCCTCCTGCAGCATGTGACACTGTTGAGCATTTCAAAGCTTGAAAACAGAAGTACATTCCTTTAAAAATATTTTACAATTCAATTTTTTACTTAATTCTGAATGACTTTCCCTCTAATTTGTTTGAAGTAGTAAGATTTCCTTTTACTTCTTTTTATTATTATTATTCTTTTGGAGGCAATAGGGGTGAAGTGACTTGCCCAGGGTCACACAGCTAGCTAAGTAAGTGTCTAAGGTCAGATTTGAACTCAGGTCCTCCTGACTCCAGGGTCAACGCTTTATCCACTGTGCCACCTAACTGCCCCTTGTAGTAATTTGCCCGTTGCAAATGGAAAGGGAGAATTTCTCTGCAGCTCCAAAAACAAAAGTAAATTACAAACATGCATTACTAAAACTCACTTGGATTTTATCGACTTGAAAAGAAAATAAGTACTGTGGCATCTTGAGTGAGATGGCCCATTTCATGCTTAAGAGTTGTTCAGTTATACGAATTAACTAATTATTGTATAAGCTTAAAACCAATACAGCCTCAAAGCACAAAAAAATGGTGCAATATGAAATAAGGAGAACATATCTAATAGAAATTTTAAAAATTAAGCATGTCAGGAAATATTGTTATAACCCTTAATACTTTAAATTCAATCTGTATTTAACCAAGATCATTCATAATACATTTCCCTTGAGAGAGTATTTGAGTGTAGGCTCAAATATATGGCATTCTTTTCCTGGCCTTCAGTCCTTTCCCTTACAATAGACTTTAGCAGGAAAAACCTGTTCTTGGATCATACGGAAATATTAGCCAAGCCTCTTACTTACTGACTTGTATCTTTATGTTAATTTCTGAGGAAGAAAAGCAGCTGTAGCAACCATCGTCCAGTACTAAAAACTCAGGGGAAAGATACTAGGAAGGAGGCATTTTGAAATGCCCAAGACTTTGTCCATTAAAGATTTTTATAACCAATCACTTATGTTGAAATTGGCTCCGTGGGATTTTATGAAAGCAGTGTAATGGATGCAGTTCTGAAATAATTTTTTTAAGTCATCAGGCCTAGGGGCAGCTAGGTGGCGCAGTGCATAGAGCACTGGCTCTAAAGTCAGGAGGACCGGAGTTCAAATCCAGTCTCAGACCAAACACTTGACACTTACTAGCTGTGTGACCCTGGGCAAGTCACTTAACCCCAATTGCCTAAAAAAAAAATCTAAAAAAAATCAGGCCTAAAGCCCTTATTGTAGACAACAGAAATTACTTTGGCTTTACCTAGCCACTGCCATTATCTTCTACCATTTTCCCTAGCCCTTAGACGTCTGCTCAGACTTTTTCCCCAAATATAGATTCCCATAAAATTATACTTAAGAAGAAATACTAGAAAGTCAAAATATATCGAATTTCTAATTAGGCTCCCTTCTCAATTCTCTCTGTACTCACCATGATTTCTGTAAAGAAGCAAATATGTGAGACTGTAGTTTCTTTTAAGGCTGACTAAATGTACTCATCTATTACTTAAATCCAACTACGTTTAGTTCAACTTCATATTTAACACAGGTTTTTAAAAGCAATAAAAATATGTTAAAGACTTGCACAAAAAAAGTTATTTTTATCCAAGTGAGTAAAATATTTTGTCATTTAGCTGTCTCAAAGGTTAAATGGATGAATGAATGAATGAAAAAATAATTTGTTAAAGGCTTACTATGTGCCAGGCACTGTGCTAAGTGATGTGTACACAAATAGAAAAAACAAGACAGTTTTTGGTCTCAAGGACCTTACAACCTAATGGAAGAAAACAGATATGGGGGAGTGTGGTGGCCAGGGAGGGGATATTTTGTTTTGACAGGGATGGTAAATGGAGTCACAGTGAAACTGATTGACACAACCTTTCCAGAAATTGTAATATTGACTTGATTACTGATTTCAGAGCTAGAGGCAGAAAGAAGATACAGGGCAGGGCAGCATGGCAGAAAGGTGGCCAGAGTATAGCATGGTGAGTCTACATACTAGATATAGTGAATTCTCACTCATCAGTAGTACAGAGCCTCAGGATGGAAGCTAAAATGCTAAGTCTGAGGCCCAGTGTGACACTGTATGGAAGGTAACACCAGAGAACCATCCTGAGTTATTTAGGCAAGAGCTTCCAATATATTGATATTCAATCATTGAGAGCCAAACTTGAATGGTTAACCATAAATTGATTTGTTTATTGTGCATCTGAATAACATGAATCAAACAGAGACAAATTTCACCCCAGCAAAAAATCTACCTATATTTGTCTCTATCATGATCATTTAATAAAAATAGAAATATTATTCAAGAATATACAAAGAAAATTTGAAAAATGAATATTACTGTGACACAATGAAGACTTGGTCTGGCCCAGATTTAGGAATCATTTTTTAAAATTCAATTCTTTGCCACAATTTTAACTTTCTTCACCACAAATCATGTTTGTTACATGTCCACAAATGAACCCAAATGATCAAGTGTCTCCAGTAGTTCCAACTTCCCTCCTCAGCAACAGTAATGGCAAAGGTGGGAGGCAAAATACTAGCAACTGTGGCAACGATTCTTTTAAGTACAAAGTTTTGGCCATTTCTTTGGGCCATAAAAAAAAAAATAACAAATCACCATTGTTTGCTCCAGCCTCCACACTACCTCAACTGAACAAAAGTCAAGCCCCAGCAAAGATGGATGCTGCTGACTTATGCCCATATGTTATGTTCTAAGCCACTTCATCTCAGCATAATGACAAAGAACTTAGCTTATTCCTGGTAGATGAGAACAAAATTCACCAAAGAGCATTCACAACCTCTTTGCTATCAAGTCTGGAGTCAAAAGTACATCTGTCAAAGTACAGATATCTTATACTGACTGACCACAGGTGCCCCACTCACTCAGAATCACTATTTAGTGACCACTGACTACTGATCAACTTCTTACCCAGTGCATCTGCAACTCCCTAACTTAGAATGAATTTTATATGTATTATATATATTTATGTGTGTGTGTGTGTGGGTATGTGTGCATGCACAGGTGTGTGTGTGTGTGTGTGTGTGTGTGTGTGTATTCATTTTTGGTCAATTGATAATCTTATTTATGTAACTAAATGTTAAAGGAGTTGCCACTCAGTTACAAAGGTTCAAAACTGAAACCTTTGATACAAGGCCAGAATTAAGCTTGAATTCTAAATCATAAATCACAGAATGTCAGAATTAGAAGGGACTTTAAAGGTCATAAAGTCTAACCTGAATACTGAAGTGAGGAACCCCAGGAGAGACACTATTTCTTTAAAGATGGTAGAAAATGACTCCTTCAGTATTTTGATTAGTATTCAGAATCAAATGAAAGGGTTGTGTCAATACAGACCTGATTATCTTTTCAATTGAGTATGTGCTTGCATCCAGATCTGTTCCTGCTCTTATAAACTTAAAAACTGAATCTTCTGATAAAGAGAGGATAAAAGGAAAAAATAAACTGGGAGAATGAACAAATTTCCATAATTTTCAAAAGAATTCTTCCCTGAGGTTACATATGAAAAATCAATTGTTCATAAAAGTCAGTATAGGTTAAGAAATGAGAAAAGGATACAGCAGGAATGAGGAACTAGTTCTTTTATCAACATTACAGCCAATCTATACAAAATGCTCAACATCTGCTGTGAATAGCTCCACTGAGGCTACATACATTCCACTAAATGTTTCCAATCCAGGTAAATACAAAACAGTTGATGAAAACATACTTTTTAAATCACTAGTGTTAAGAAGCAGCAGCATAGTCCAGATCGAAAATTCATAAAAGGACAAAAGAGTTGAAAATTTCAATGAAGAGGGAGGAAATGGTTCAACAAAATGAATATCACAGCAAATAACATGACTAAGGTTTATAGCATAAACCAGCAATGTAGCAATAACAGCGCTTCACAATAGATAGTTTCATAAGGAAAAGCCCCAGGCATTGGCTAAAGTCCCCTGGTTTTAATGTCCAAACATAGGAAGCAACTTTACAACTCTCCTCTTCATCTTCAAAGTAATAAATGAGCCATTAACTGGTTTCAATGGTCTCTCCATTCTGAGTAAGTATCAGTTCAGGAACTTCATTCATTCTCAAGACTTCTGCATAGAGCAGATAATGATGCAGGCTAGTGGGAAGAGGTAATTGACGGATAAAATTATCAGATCGCAGGCGTTCTGGTTTTAGAATGGACCGAATTTCCAAGCGGCAGAGGTGAGTCAGGGAAGGAACAGAAACTGTAGAAATGAACAAAACCAAGATATTAAAAAAAATTAAAATAAAAGGATGCAACAGTACCATTACACAAATTAAGGCCTCAAATTCTACAGTTAGCAATACCAACAACTCAAATTAAGGAAAGAATTCTACTAGGTCCAGTAATGGACAAAGGACAACAAAAAATGCCTCATTTTTTTTTTGCCCAGAGCAAACAGCCTCCAGGTGTACCAAATCAAGCACTTTGAACCACTTGCCAAAAATATCCTCTTAAATTTAAGCACAACAGTATAAAACTGCCTTTAAAAGATATGTGTGTATGTACACACACACACACACACACACACACATATATATAAAGACAATTTCAATCAAAAGAAGAGTCCTCAATGACTTCTATAGGAATGATTTTTTTTTAATGGCAGCAACTTAATTCCCAAGATAAAAATGAAAAAGTGTTTACAAAGGTTAATGTCCATGAGAACTAATAAAAATGAAAAACAATCGCACTTTCATGTGAATCAAGAACATAGCTTTTCTGTTAGTCCATTAAGTTTACATAATCCCTATAAAATACAGCAAAGATTAATAGATCAAGAAAAGGAAGATCTTGACATTGCCAGTCACTTTCCAAATCCCAAAAGTTAAATGACTAAACAGAAAGTGCACTTGAATTTGTATATGAAAGCTGGATCTAAGGCAAAGATAGACAGATTCTTAAGCTTCATAAATCATATTTCAATAACTACTAATGTAGAATCTGCATAGCACATTAGTTTCCTTTGCTTTCAAGTCAATTACCCCATTTTAATCTTAAATATCACAGTAAAATAAATAACAGCTGCAAACATCACCCCTTTGTCAGATGGGAGAGCTCAGGCTTATATGTTTTGCATTTGTGGCATAGTACTAGACTCAGCTAGAGTGATGTTCTCCAGAAGCTGTGATATCTTAATTCTTTGATGTTTTCTTAATACTGAAATCAGTTAATCACCTTAGGTCTTAAAAGACTTAGGCATTCAGAATGAAAGGAGAGTCACTTTAAGAACTGATTTCAATTTTAATAGCACCATTTTTGTTCTACTGAGGCCTTAACAGATCACTGACCTGATGAACCATAATTGCTCAGAAATAGGTTCATCTTGACTGAGGGAGTTTTTAATATGTGGATTATTTCCCCTAGCCCTTTGGTGCCATTTTTGCTTAACTTGCTATTGAGTGCTAAGGGAGTTTTAAATCCATGTATACAGTAATTGTGTGTGCAAAATGTCTATGAAAGTTTTAATGCTATTTCCAGAAGTATAGTCACTAGTTTAAATATTACAATGGATACTAAATCTTTATAACTGGTTGAGGTAGGGTCAAGCTCTCCCTTATAATGAAATATGAATGTCTCAGCAGAAACAAAGGTAAAATATACTTTCAAGAGAACCTAAAATCTACTGCTAGGAGACTTAAAGCTATTAAATAGAGATTTGATTTCTTAGGTTGAGACAACAACCTTTCCTATAAAATTGAGTCCAAAATCATCTAACACTTTGAAGTCATTTTCTGATCTTCTAATTCAAGATCAAGTCGAAGTCTCCCTGAGATGTAGGTGCATCTTCTAAAGTTGGTTGTCTTGGAATAAGGAACAAGTCTCTTGTTGGATGGGAGTGGGTGGAGAGAACACTATGCTTCTAGAAGGATCTAGAGATTCTTAGGACCTGTGAGATAGTGGTGCAGAGTGATACAGTATTTCTTTTTTGTTATTTACAGTACCCAACTATCCATAGATACCAACCATTATAAATAAAATAGTTATGTGTTCCCTCAAACGTTTCCAGATGGGCAAGCCTTTACCTTTGAAAAGACTAAGTGACCTAGTGTGTATGAGTAGCTTACTAGCACTATTTGCACCTGAAGCACTGATATCATCTGGGCGGAGAGGAACTATTTCTGCGGAAGTAAACACTTCATCCCACAATTTCTTTTATACTCCAGTAATCAATTTACAGGGCTGTATTAATAACAAGACAATAGTTTTCTTACTCATACCCTTGAATCAGAGGATAATTCAGAAAAACTGGAACTTAAGGAAGACTGTTAAATCTTCAGTACATTCAATGATACCAAAAAAAAAAATGCTCAAGATAAATGCCTGTGAGATAAATTCTTTTGAATCTTCAGCCAAAACAAAAATCTTCTTACAACAGGGTGATTAGTACTCTACACAAGCTCTAGCAAGTGCCTAATTAAATGAGAATGTATTAATGGACTTATTCCATTTCGGAGTTAATGCACACACGCACCATTTTTTGCCTTCATCGGGAAAGGCTTGCCATATGTTAAGGTCTTCAGAGTAAACCTTCCCATTTCTTTCCTAATTGATACATTGCACTAATTTTCCCAATTTGGCATATGTCCTTTCTTTTGACTGTTACCAAAACCACTGTCCCTCATCTATTTCTACTGAATAGATTTTTGTTCTTTATGGGTGTGGGTACATAATTGATATCATCAGACCAAACACTCAATGTTAAGAATTAAATGCAAATCAGAACCACAATATTAAGGGAAAAAAAAATACCTCTGTACTTGAAAACTAACAAGGACTTCAGATTACTATCTTTCTTCACTGGGTATCTAATAGCTCCATTCAACCTGATAATAATAATTATATTTATACTGCAACTTAAAATTTATAAAACAAAAAAAAAACACAAAATTCTCTTTACAGCTCTCTGAGGGAAGAATGAGAAGTATTATTTCCAATTTAAAAAGGAGGAAACTAAGAGAGAAGATAAGGCCTTTATCAGAAGCCAGAGTTAATGTCAGGTTCTCTCTCCACTACACTATACTGTCTCTCAATATAAATGAAAAAGATTGCTAAAAAGAAGCAAAACTCTGAGTAATGGAAAAAGCAGTGGAAGTCCCACAAAGACACAAGGAAACATATACCTCCTTCCTCTTGACAGAAAGGAAAAGGAAAACTACCAGGACAGGATATTGTGCACAACTTTAAAAATGTGAGTCTCTATATTTGATAATTTTGCTTAATTGTTTTTCTTTATTACAAGAGCAGTTTCAATCAGGAGGTGGAGATGGGAAATGGCTGTAATGTAAATATAAAGTACATCACACACACACAAAAAAGAAAGAAACAGCTACAAAAATTAAAGGGACACATCATGTTTTATGCCCTTACATTGCATAGCTTAAACTGAATAGCTTCAAGACCTTTTGAGACACTATTGCTAGCTTAGATATGCTTTTCTTACACTAAGATTTTTTTCTACTAAGCCTTTTTTAATTTCTTCAACTAGCTTCAACAAATGGGTCAAAATTAGAGCAAAATGAAGCCTACTAATTATTTTTTTTTAAATACCAACAAGGTCACAAAATCTAAATTAGTTCCAGTCCACCTCCACAGGAAATACTTATGACATCCCATTGTACTAGCAAGTCAAAATAGACATGGCACAGTGTAATAATTTTATACAAAGTATTCTGACTATATAACCCTTACTCTTTTTTTTTTGAGCAGGAGTGTGACATGGTCACATGTACACTCTATTGATATTTTTGGTTTCTTACTTCACCATGGTATCCCATGTATCCCCCTACCATTCTCAGAGAACCATCCCATATTACAAATAGTATTATTTGGAGAGGGAAAAAAAAAAAGCCAGCACAGCTGATCAATACATTGGACAAAATCAGAAAATATATGCAATGTGTAACACCTGTGGACCTCCCACCTACACAAAGGAGTGAGTTAAGGGTGTTTTCTCATATCTCTTCATTCCAAGTCTTGTTTGATATTTAAAACTTTGTTATGTATTCTTTTGATGGGGGGGTGTCATTGTACTTCCCATTTACATTATTGTAGTCAGTGTGTATACTGTTTTCTTGGCTGTGCTTACAATTCACATAGATCTTTCCACGCTTCTCTGTATTCATCACACACATCATTTCTTAAAGCATATTTATGTTTCGTTATATTCATGTAGCACAAGTTTGTTTGTTTTTATCTATTCCCCAATTGATGGATATCTATTTTTTTCCAATTCTTAGCTCTCTCAAAAAATGCTGCTATATTTTGGAAAATATGAGGATTTTTTTCCTATCAGTTGCTTCCTTGGGTCACTTTGCATAATTTCAAATTGCTTTCCAAAATATCTGCACCATTTCTCAGTTCTACCAACAATGTATTAATGTGTCTATCTTTCTACAATCTCTCCAACATTGACCATTGCCATTTTTTGACATTTTTGCCAATTTGCATGGTGTATAATGCCCACTACTTACAGTTGTTTCCTATTACTTCTCGCACCAAATACAGGGTGTCCTAAAAGTCTTAGTGCACTTTTAAATTTTAATAGTTTAACCTATCTATATAGAGTATCCCCCCAAAAATTTGTATAGTTTTAAATTTTAATAGTTTACAACTTCACTAATACTTTTTTGGGACAGTATAAACTGCTTGGTTTGCCATTTGAAGCTTTTTAATAATCTGGCCCCTTTCTAGTCTTACATATTACTCCCCTCCACTTCCTATCTTTGTGCCCTTTCATTGGCTATCCTCCTTACCTAGAATGCTTTCCTTCATAACCTCTGACTGTTGGAATTCCTGATTTTATTCAACATTCCACTCAAACATAACTGCCTCCCCAATAAAGTTACCTTGGATCTATGTTGTATGTATCTTATGTATATGCGATCTAGCCCATTAGGACACAAAGTCCTCAATGGTGGGGACTAGTTCACTTTTGTCATTGTGTACTAGGTGCTTAGTATTGTGCCTTGAATAGAGTAGGTAGTTAATAAATGCTTGTTGGTTGACAGTAACTCACATTAATTGAACACTTTATCATTACAAAGCACTTTACATACATAATCTCATTTGATTTTACAGAATGAATAAAACTCTTTACACTCTCAAGTTAGGACATTAGAGTTAACTGAATGTTCATCAGATCACCACTTAAATTCATTTACTAACCAGATATTTTAATTGGAGTAAACTACAAAAATGAGGATATCACTAAACAGAAGTATAAGTTCTGAACACCTGCTTTACTTCAAAGACTAGTTATTTTAACTTGGAAAGCTAGCTCTGATTTTAGCTTAAGGCAATTAAACTACACTTTTTCTCAGGTGATTTATTTTTGACTTTCCAGTCTTCATACCACCAATAGCCTAAAGAGATGTTTCCAACTTAAAGTCATGGCCCAGAGGGCAGGGCAGGTCAAAGGGAATACAAATATAAATATAAAAACCAAATGGCTCACCAAAATGATTAAGCGGGACCCAGGAAGAGCTTTCTGCATGAGCAGAGAGGATCTTCTCAACAGCAAGGGGAAGCCGCTTCCAATTAGTGAACTCCAGGCTAAAGTTGAGGATATCATCATCAACTGAGTGAATCCTACATAGCAAGAAATTAGCAGTTACTGACACAAAATACAGTCAGGGATACATTCTGGAAGCATTCTATAAGTTAAACCAACAGTAATAAAGTGCCTTGGTAGCTCCTTTTTATCCAAAAATATTAACAATGGAAAGATAACCTTGTGACCAATCTCCAAATTTCCTTATTTCTTTAAAGGGAACCTTCCAGTCTTTGTTACCCAGATTTGCAACTTCAGAGTAATCTTCAACTCCTTACTCTCCTCCACACCCCACAAATCTAATAAGATGCCAAATTTTATTATTTCTACCTCCACAATCTCTCCCATTCACCCCTTATTTTACACTCACAGCCACCACCCTACTTCAAGCTTTCATCACATCTCTCCTGGACTATTGCAATAGTCTCTTAATTGCTCTCCCTGTCTCTCAAAACGGTCAGACCCTGTTTGATCAACTCCATTGGTTCCCTATTACCTCTTCTTTTTGCCATTTAAAAACCTTTTACAATCTGGCTCCAACCTACCTTCCAAGGATTATCCTACATTACTTCCCTTCATAAGTCTGATCCAACCAAGCTGGCTCTCTTGATCGTCCATTACATTTCTCAATTCTCTGTCATTCCACAAGCTGTCTTTCAAAGCCGAGCTCAAGTGCACTTCCTACCTGAGGCCCTTTTGGAATCTCCCTGCAGTCAGTACCTCCTTTACCAAAAACTGCCTTGTATTTACTTGTAAATAGTTTGTATTTGCTTATGTGTGTATACATAGTTTCTTGCAATAGAATGTAAGTTCCTTCATGGCAGGGATGTTTCATTGTTGTCTCCGTGCCAGGCACACAGTAAGTGCTTGTTGATTAACCACTCTCTGAGAAACAAATGGAAATAAGGGAGAGTATCTTCCCGAACAACTGTACTTTCTAGTCAATAATTCCACCATACAACAAAATAAACCATCCCAAACTCAAGAATTACTTTATTATATGGCAGCCCTACAACTTCAGTCATTTCTGGTCAGGAGAACACTGAGGAGAAAAGCTAGTTCCACTTCATTTCAAGGCCCTTACTCTGTTCTCCTGTCTACAAACACATACACATACAAGTGTATAGATATGTTATGGTAAGAAAGTAGCTGATGGGTTGATGGAAAATTGCTGAGTGGAAAGTAATGGTTATATTATATATACATATTATATATGTTATGTTACGTTATGTTATGTTATATTATATTATATATAGGAAGGTTATTTGTATACACTCAGTTCATCCCCCACCAAAACAGTGCTGAGTATAAGAAAAGTTCTAGTTAAGGTCTTGGGTTCCTTAAGTTGCATCAGCAGTTCAAATGATAATATCCAAGGGTCTTGAGGGGTATAACAGGAGGGTGGATTGTAGAACTTGGTAGTCCTCCATCTTACCAAAAGGAATATAGTTGGTGACTCTCTGCTCACCCAAAAGATGTGAGATGCCATGTTGGAAGGGTGAGGATGGGGGATGGGGATGGGGTTCTAGGGCCAGAGTCAATCAAGGGTTCTGGGTTCACTCCTTTATGGGGTGGGGATAGAAGGTGAATGTCTAGTAAGAAGGTGGGAAAGGAAAAGAGGAGCTGGTACAGAGGTTGGATTGAAAAGCTGCCCAAGGAACCTGTTCCTGCTGAGCCCTCCAAGGTCCATGGAATCATTAATGTTATTTATTATGCTTATGGATAGAAATTAGCTGTTCAAAAATGAGTTCCCAGCTATATCCTAAACATAATGACACTTTGAAAAAAAAACTCATTAAAATAGGATTTCTCACTTCTGACACAATTAAATTCTTTTCTGCTACCAAAATGTTTGATAAAACTTATGATGTAGGGGGTAGCTAGGTAGTGCAGTGGACAGAGCATTGGCCCTGGAGTCAGGAGGACCTGAGTTCAAATCTGGCCTCAGACACATAATATTTCCTAGCTTGTGTGATTGTGGGCAAGTCACTTAACCCCAATTGCCTCACAAAAAAAAACAAAACAAAACAAAAAACAAACAAACAAACAAAAAACCTTATGATGTGACTTTAACAATTAGGGATAAAAAAAAGACTTTGCTTGAACAATCTGAATAATTGCTTTGGAAACTTACTACTAAAAGCTAAGGCAAAAAGAATAAAAGCAATAAAGACAAACTTAAAAATCTGCTAAAGACAACTTATTTCTACAATTTAAAGATAAGTTGCCCTTGAAATCATTAAGTAGAAGATTATTAAATTTATTTCTTATAATTGATAATTCCCCAAAACACAGATATACAGAAAAAAGAACTGAAGGCAAAATCTAAATAAGCAAGTGTTGTATTTATATATAGGAAAACATTTCCATTTTCTATAGCTTTCTGCTATCTCATTTAAATCATATCTGATCAGAAAATGCAAAGATGAAATACAAACAAAAGCAAACAAAACTCGTTGGCTACATCAAAAGTTTACTTAGTAATGGTGCTTATTTCTTTTCTAATAATTTCACTTTTCTACCTTAATGTAGCTCATGGCTGACTGTGAATGAACACAGAAACATTTTTATGCAGTTATCTGAACACACAAGAGGAGTAAATCTGTTTGTGTGGTTTTAGTTAACAGAATGGTATATTTACTATTGTTGATAATGCCAGTAAAAATTTTATCATTATTATTACTACCAAACCACACTGACCATCACACTGTACAAAACAGCTGTACACTCATAAACCAGTGACAGTTAATCAACAAAATGTACATCTGACATTTACTTTCTATTATTCTCCCATTACATTCCAAGGGAGGAAATTAGTATGGCATTGAAAATTACAAAAAACATATCAAGTTTGAAAAAATGTATCAAGTTTGTAGATTACATCTTGGCAGGTTATTTTTCCAGGTATATGTTAAAAGCTGTGTAAGATAAATAATCTGTAGGCAAAAAAAACAAACAAAACTTGTAGTTTACAAGACAAATATTTTTAAAGTCCACTTAATACATTGAGATTTTTATAGAATGGTCTTGCTTTTAGTTATACTCTGCTCTTTGAATGTAAACCTAATCAAATATGGAAAATCATAACAACAGTTATTATATCAGGCTTACTCACAATGAAATGATACACATCAACAAACTAAATTTTCATTGAGCATTTGGCATTTTCAATGCAAAAGCAAAAATTGCAAACAGTATGAAAATTTACAATCTTCAGGCTGGCACGTGGAGAGAACATAGGAGCTAGAGACAGAAATAACTAAGTTCAAATCTGACCTCAGATATTCATTAGCTGTGTGACCCTGGACAAATAACGTAAACTCTCAACCTGTTTCCTCATCTGTAAAATGGTGATGATGATAACAATAACAATAACAATGATAATAATAATAATAACAATAACAGCATCTAACACCCAGGGCTATTGTGAACATAAAATGAGATATTTGTAATGCACTTTGAAAATCTTAAAGCACTAGATAAATGTTAGCTATCATCATCATCATCATCATAGTATAAAAAATGAATAGCCAAGGCATGTCTTCAAAGGAACAAGTATTTATTATGTGCCTTATAATATACATGACACTTTTGTTACTTAGAAATATAATTATGGTTATACTTTTATTTGTGATTCATGAGGTTTTGAAATTCCCATATCAGAATATGCATAATCAACAATGCTCCCTTCTTGCCAACATAGCCTGTTCCCTTCAGTTTTTCCAGGTAAGATATGGTGGAAAGTCCTTAATTTATGAACAGTGACATTCAGAAGTTCATTTTTAAGTCAACTTTTAAAACTGAATGTCACAGTGGTTTCCCCAGATTAACCCACAAAAACATATTTATCCCACAATTTACATTTATACTGAAATAAAATGTTCAAATACCTAAACAGATCAAAAATCTAATCAACGTAGAGATTCCCTCCACTAATAAAGATTGAAACCTATCCATGCCTGCCCATTATATATGATTCTTGTCTGAATCCTTTCAAGAGTTTACCAAAGGAAATCCACACAAACCACTGGGAATCTTTCTCACTTTCTCTTTATATCACAAGGATACCAATGGGGCACAAAACCAGATATCCCTTTCTCTCTCCACATGACATCTTTTTCACTTAACTTTTTTGCCACTTTTTATTCTACTTCTCCTTAATGATTCTTATTTGTAATATGTTATAGCCTACTCACACTGATTATGTGTTTTCAATTGTCCTCTGGGTGCCACTGATTTCTAACTCTTCAGAGACATACAAACAGTGCCATAAGAATATAAGTATTAATCAGTTATAAACAGTAAACATTTATTAAGCACCTGCTTATGTGTTGGGCATTGTGCTAAGTGCTAGAGATACAAAAAGAGGCATAAGATAGTACTTGCCTTCAAGGAACTCACAATTTAAAGAGGGAGACAATAATCAAAAAAGCTATATACAAAACAAACAGGAAATGATCAAGACAGGGAAGGCACTAGAATTAAGAGGGGTTGGGAAAGGCTTCTCATAGAAAATGAGATTTTATTTGGGACTTAAAAAAGCCAGGGAAGCCAGTAGGCAGAGATGAGGAGGGGGAGCATTCCAGGAATGGGAGACAGCCAAAGAAAATTCCCCAACCCAAGAGATGAAGTGCTTTCTTTGGAGAACAGCAAGGAAGACGGTGTCACTGACTGAAGAAGGAGTGGCAAGGAGTAAGGGGTAAGAAATTGGAATGGTAGAAGGGTTAGGCTATGTAGGGTTTGAATGCCAAGCAGAGGATTTTGTATTTGATCTTGAAGCAATAGGGAACTGATGAAATTTACTGAGTAGGGAGGTGACATGGTCAGACCTGTACTTTAGGAAAATTATTTTGGTGGCTGAATGAAGGATGGATTAGGGTAGAGAGATACTTGACACAGGCAGACCCACCAAAAGTTTATTTCAATAGTGCAGGCATGTAGTGACAACAGCCAGCACCAGAGTGGTGACAGTGTCAGAGGAGAGAAGGAGGCATATTCAAGAGATGGTACAAAGGTGAGATCAACAGACCTTGGTGAC